GGTCAGGACATGCCCAGGAGGCCTGCACAGGGTCAGGACATGCCCAGGAGGCCTGCACAGGGGCTGATGCCTGCCCAGGAGGCCTGCACAGGGTCGAGGCACGCCCAGGAGGCCTGCACAGGGGCTGAGGCCTGCCCAGGAGGCCTGCAGAGGGGTCAGGCACGCCCAGGAGGCCTGCACAGGGGTCAGGCATTCTCAGGAGGCCTACAAAGGAGACAGGCATGCCCAGGAGCCTGCACAGGGTCAGGACATGCCCAGGAGACCTGCACAGGGTTGAGGCATGCCCAGGAGGCCTGCACAGGGGTCAGGCATTCTCAGGAGGCCTACAAAGGAGACAGGCATGCCCAGGAGGCCTGCACAGGGGTCATACATGCCCAGGAGGCCTGCACAGGGGTCATACATGCCCAGGAGGCCTGCACAGGGATCATACATGCCCAGGAGGCCTGCACAGGGGTCATACATGCCCAGGAGGCCTGCACAGGGTCGTGGCACGCCCAGGAGGCCTGCACAGGGGCCACTCCCACTCACCCCTACTGACATCCCTGCAAGGAAGAGGCCCTGAAGAGGATGGGGAATTCTAGCTCTGTGCTCTTGGGCTGTGCTGAGGGACAGTGCTGGCTTTCTGCAGATCTGCCAAGCTGTCACCAAGCTTGTGAGGCCACCTGGGTCTGCAATGAACCCCTGTAAACAGGGTCTCTGGTAAACAAGGCCTCTTGCCTGTTGGCCACTGCAGGAGGTGGGGCTGTAGGGCCAGGCATCAATCCTGCTGCCCAAGACCTGGAGTGCCCGGGACTGTCCCTGAGGCAGCTGTTCCCACAGCTTCTCAGGAGCGACCTGAGGTGGGCCGCGGGGATCAGCCTGGATGACCACAGGATGAGACAGAGCCCCAGATGCTGCCCCCGAGGCCTGGGCTTGATTGCCTGGCTTTCTAGTGCGCCACCACCTGTGTGTGTCACTGGGATGGCTGTGACCCAGCTGCAAATAGGGAGAGGAGACCCCGGAAGGGCTTTGGGGACGCTGAGGACTTGGCTGCTTTTAAAGTCAAAACATGGATTTTAAAGTCAACACAGTAATATATGCCAAGTGCACATTTTATGGACCATGGTGTGTGTGGTCCGTGTGTGTGTGTGTGTGTGTGTGTGGACCATGGTGTGTGTATGGTGTGTGGGTGTGTGTGTGTGGGTATGTGTGTGTGTGCATGCTGTGTGTGCTCTGTGGTCACCCCTACACTGCGCAGCAGCCCCAGGGGCTCATGTGTGGCTTGTGGCTAACATTTGCTGATCATCCCTAGTGAGGACAGCAGCAGGGCTGTTCCTGTGGCACCTGCTGTGTCCTGAGCATCTGCTGCCCAGCACTGGTGGACCCTGCAGCACCACATGCCACCCTCTGGGGGTCTCTGAGGTTGGTGTGGTCACCCCATTCCTGTGAGGATGCAGAAGCTGATGAAGGTCCAGCACCTGCCTACTGGCTGGGCCAGGCCAGGAGCTACATGGCGTCAGGGCCACCTCCCTCCTCTCCCCTCCCTCAGCCACTCATGGGGACAGAGACGAGTCTAGAACCCACTTCTCACAGCTGCGGGGCCACAGGAAACCCAGGCTCCAGACTTTTCTAGATGAGCGTACCGTGATGGGGATGATTTGTGCTCGGTTTCTCCCCATCTGGAAGGAAAGACGCTTTACCAGGTGGTGAGAGCTACACTAACTTGGCCACCCAGCCATCGACCACGAGGGTCACACACAAAACGTGGAAGCCTACACCTCCATTGAAAGGACCGATGCCATGCCGATCTAAGATGAAAATGCATCAAAACCCATCATTTATACCTACAAATGCCTTATTTCATGGTTCTAGAAGGAGCACATGTTCACTTTTTTAAAAGATGAGTCAGTTCAGGTGACTTTAAAGAACTAAGCTGAGGGGCGCCTCTGCTTGCTGCCACCCTGTCCGACGGCTTTCTTTGCCCTCCTTGTTATCTTAGCAGCCTTGGTGACCAAGTCAACACAGGTCACTCGCCCGGGTGGCCTGCGTTGACCCTCACATGGCTCTGCTGAGTGGTCAGACGGAGGGAGGGTGGTGGGAGCTGCTGTGCCCTGTCGGCCTGGGTCTCGGGACTGCTGTGGGCAGCCAGGTCCTGGACCTTCATACGTGTGGGGAGGACACAGGTGGTGACAGAGGGTTGACACACCACGGTGTGGTAGGAAAGCCGCTTTCCTCCCCAGAGGGAGGAACGGTCCCGTCCTTACAGTCAGCTCCTCTCAGGGTCCCTGGCATGTTAGGTCACCTGACTGGACAGGGAGAGTCTCAGGCCCCCTGTGACCGCTGACAACCTGCTGGCCCCGGAAGACACCCTGAGTGCTCCCCGCCTTACCTGGGTGACACTTTAGACTCCTCCAGGAGCTTTCTGAACTCTTCTTTGGCGAGCAGCAATTTACTCTTTTTTTCCTTGTATTCTTCTTTTATCCTCGTCTTGACAAACTGCTCAAATATCTTGAAACACACAGACAAGAGCATTATGGGATGACACAGGAGAAATGGAACCCCTGGGTGAGCCACCCCGCTCCTCGTGGCCCGGCCTGTGAGCCGTGGCCCTTCTGCTGCGCTCTCAAGGGCACCAATGAGTCCACAGAGTGGACCCCACCCCGAGGCCCAGTGCTGGTCCACGCACAGGCCCCACCTCTGGGCCACACCGTGGCCTGCAGCCGGAGTCCCAGGAGCTGCGGGGTGGCCCTCTCTGAGCCCCTCAGGTGTGCTTCTCGTCTGGACCCTGAGTAGCTTCCGAGCAGTCCCTGGCCTGTCGAGTTTCCCATCGCCAATGGGCACAGCGACACTGGGTACTGAGCTTTCCCTAGTCTCCTCCCAAGGCAAGTCATTGGCCTTCGAGCCTCCAAAAAGGACATGAACCTGTGAACAGAGGACTCCCGACCTCCAGTTCCCCAGAACCCCACCCTGCAGCGGGGGCTGCCAGCGCTCTCTCTGGAGGAGGGCAGGGGGCGTCCAGGCTGGGATGAGCTCAAGGAGACTCGCTGGGCTTGCCAGACCCTCTCTGGGCCAGAAAGGTGTTCAGATGTGACCAAGGAAACCTCCTCTGTGCCGTCTGCAGGGAAATCCCTGAGACTCCACGACCTTCCTCTCAGAAACCAGAGCCACACAGAATGATGAAACCTCTCTGCCACGGCCCACAGAAGCCTCGTGCTTTCTATTAGAAGAAGATTGCTCATCGTTCTAACATCTGAAGAATTGTCACTTACAGACTATGAAGTTGGCAGGGAGGGGACAAAGTCATTTCATTCCTAATGCTAACAAAACATCAAGAATATTTAAAAAATAGACTGGAGGTAATTTAAATTCTTATGCAAATATAAATAAAGCATCAGTAAAAAGCCCACACGTGGTGCCACCTCTGTACTAATCCACGCAGGCCTGGGGGTCGCACCCAAGTGCAGGGCGGCTGCAGGTCTCCATCAGCAGCAGCAGCCCGCTGTGGGGGGGGGGGGGAACCGGCAGGAGCCAGCTGGCCCTGGCCCTCTTTGACCTTGTCTTCCTGTTTCAGGCCCCTCTTTAATGGCAAACATTTATGGGATCATAAACACAAAGTGTTACTTACCACCCGAGGATGCGGCAGTGCCTATGGCTGAGCCTTAGAGCAGGTGCCTGTCTATTTAAGAATCTGACTGGCTAATTCCACTTTTAAGGCAAATAATAAAGTATGGAGTCTAGTCATCTTATAATTTAAACTAATAAAAGAGGTGAAAGCAAGGTTATTATCCAAATAAAAGCATGTGGCTCCCTCATTAGCCAGAGTTTTGCTCTATTAATTTTAAATCTGGGTAGAAAGGCTGGCTGGCTGTGGGGTCAGAGCTCCCGTGGAATACCTGCACCTCTCTGCCTGGAACCATTTATCCATCGAATCAGATTTTTCTCTCTTGTCTCTCCTTTTTCTCAGTTGCTTTATTTATGATGCTATGATCTAATAGAGCAGGATTTTTTCCTCCTAACAATCATACCATTTTTTTCCAAAGTGGGGCATGACTTTTTTAAAGAGATAACGTTGGCCATTATCTCGTTACTGTGAGCTCTGCTGTGATGAAGCCAAACAGTACTCGTTGCCATGGAAACAGGCCCAATTTGCACTCCCTGGCCCTGTTCTCTGTTTTGGCTCACCCTCTCTCCTCCTCTGCAGCCCCAGGTGGAGGGAGGGGGGTATCATCCACCGCAGAGCCTGGGCCTCCCCATGGAGGCACTGGGGACGCAGGGCCTCAGCACACGCTTGCTTGCACTATTTATTTGTCAATAGGGCTCTGCTTTTTGCATGAGGCCCAAACACTGTTTCTTTTCCCAGTCCAGCTTGGTGCCCTGCTCACACAAGCTGCGGAGCTTCTGTGCCGGAGCAGCTGCAGCCCCTGAGCTGACGTGGCCCCCGCTGCTGCAGTCTGCCCGCTGGTGGCTGCCTTCTCTTCACTGGGCCTTCTGGGGCCCACAGCTTCCTCTGGGAGACTCCACAGGGACATTTGAAGGTTTCCCCCAATAGTGACTCCAGGTGTGGGCTGACATTCCCACTGGATCTGTCTGCAGGCCATGGACGAGGGCAGGACTCCCCACCAGTCGGCGTGGGAAGGCACGGCCCTCAGGCTGTCTGTGCCCTCTGCCTGGCCTGCCCACGTGCAGCCCCTGCTCCCTGCCAGTGGTGCACAGGACAGCTGTCTCTAGCATGGAGGGCAGTGGCGGCCCTGCTCCTGAACTTGCTGCAGTGGCCAGGCCCTGCCTCAGGTCCTCTCTGGAGCCGGAAGTGTTCAAGGGGTCTCTTCTCTGCTGGCCTTTCTCTTGGGGGTGGGAGTCTTCCTTCTTCAACTTCCTCTTGAGAGAGTGGTGGCCACTAGAAATACCTGTGACTTAGAGAAAGGACGGTAACAGATGGCAGCAGGAGCCGCCCTGCAGGTGGCGGTCAGACTCCAGCCGCTGGTGGCTTCCAGGGCGCAGGGCGTGGCTGCCACGTGGACACAGGCTCCCTGCTCTGTGCCGCTGTGGTGGACGCTGGGACCTTCCCATCTCATGATGCAGCAAAGGGGTGAGACGGTGTCAGCGATTAAACTCTGTGGTCTCCCAAACCAGCCCCCTCAATGGCAGGGTTATCCGGAGCCATGCTCACACCCCTCATGTGGTCAATGATGCTTCTTTCTCAAAATTGAAACTCTGCTAAAGGTAATCAGTTCCCGGTTCCTACAGGACTGTGGCCATCTCAGGAGCCTCCCACTTCCAAGGCCACCTGTGTCTGCTCCTGGACTTTACGGCTCCAGGGGTGGCAACCAGGCTGAGACTCTGCCTGCTGCTCCCTGCCATCGTCTCCGGCATCTGCTCACAGGGACTTCATGAGCTGGTGACTGAACTGAAAATAGAAAGGCAGTCTCCACGCTTCCCCGTGGGTCTTGACCACAAACTGCCATCTGAGAACCCCAGAGGAGAGCCCGTGGGCCCACGGCAATGGACCTTCTTCTCTGGGATGACCCCAAGGCTCCTCTGCGGTCAGTCTTGGTTCTAGGTGACTCACTGCCCGGGGTACAGTGAGAGGGAGGACGTGGCCTCATGTGAGGACTCGGGTTGAGAAAGCCGGGSCATTCTCAGGCCCCGTGGACCCCACAGGTCCAGCTAAAGCCGTGGTTCCCTAACCCTGACCCTGGCGATGACACACCTCTCCCGAAGCCCAGTCATCTCAGTGCCCTCTCCCATCTGCCTGGTCAGCCTGGAAACAGAAGGCTCAGCGACCTCACCACACACAGAGCCCTGGCCAGTCTGTCTTTAAAAGAGCTTCCAGACTCCTGTCTCCAAGCCAGCCCTGCTGTCCTGGACCTGCTTTCCAGAACACCCACCCTTTGCTTATTCCAGCAGTGTGCCCTGGACCTCTCCCAGTCACTCACATCACATGGCACCTGACATGCCCGGTGACTTTACACTCTGAGTACAGTCACTGGGACATGGCTTAGGTCCCCCAGTTTGCATTTTTACCTCTGGTCAAGTCTGGACGGTCAGGTAAGAAGGATTCCCAGGAGAGACCCCACTGCACTGCTGACCCCCGTTCACAACTCCAAGCTCCACACGCACCACACGCTCCCCCTCCCCGCTGCACGGGCAGTCAGCAGGCAGCTGTCCACCAGCAGTGACAAGCCCAGAGCCGCCGCTTAGTCCTGTGTCTGCAGTGGTCTTCCTGCTGGAYGCCACCGTACCTGTTTCCGCTCCTCAGAGTTTAGCAGGAGATAGCGCGGGTCAAACACAATTTTGTGCAATTCTTTTTCCCAAGTGGAAAACGCTGACACCTGGAGAAAGATATTCAATGGAGTTGGTATTAGCATCAGATTCTGAGCTGGGGTTGCGCTGAAATGATCAATGGTTAAAAAAAATGCAACATCGGAGTACAACAGATCAGCGACGCGGCATTGTATGAAAGCGTGCGAACATTTCGAGAAAATCAATGCTTAGAACATTAGGAAATTTAATTTCTAGACTCGTGACACTGTTTCTTCCTTGGGAGTCTCCAGGGCTCAGCCCTGGTCTGCAGGCCCCGGTCTCCATGGAGAAAGCACTGCAGCCAAGTCTTGAGAGCAGAGAGGATATTTGCAAAAGTTCTCACAACCTGCAGGTCACAACAGAGGGCTATGTCTTGCAAACAGGCTGGGTCAGCAGAACTTTGGTTGGTATTTTAATCAACATCAAGCATCTTTTAGGTGGGTTATTGTTAAAAGCCACGTATTTTATTTTACAGTAGTTTTAGCATTACTGAAAATTTGCTAGAACCGTGCAGGAGGCTCCTCTGCCCCCAACTCTGCCAGTGGGCCAGGCTGGTCAGGGCATCACCCTCCCACCACTGTTAACAAAGCCACTCATCCTGCGGTTCCTGCAGGACTTTCTCTTTTCTTCTCGGGACCCCTCCTGACATTTCCTCGACACTGGGGAGTTTCTCAGACTCCCTGGTTTTTGATGGCCTTGCTGTTTGGGGGGCTGACAGGATCCCCCGGGGCTGGGATCATCTGGGGCTATGGGTTTGGGAAGAAGACCACAGGGCTGTTGTGTCATGCGTCATGCATGACATCAGGGATCCCCACCATGCCCGGCTCTCAGCACTGGGGCCTGGACCCAACCACCTGGCTGAGTTGTGTCCGTGTCTCCACCTCCAGGTTACTCTGCCCTTTGCCCACTGCACCCTGACGAAGGTGGACACTTCAGCCCACACTTAGCAAACTCTACTAACCGAGGGCAGTGGCTACATAAGAGATTTGGATTCTTCCACATTCACTCATTTATTCAGCAGTTTCTTTCATCTGTGAGGACACATGGTACGCAGCGCATACTCTCAGGATCCAATTCTGCTGCATGCATCTTGCTGTTCACACTGCTCCAGCGTCAGCCCTGGGAGTCCTCCGTTGGCTTCTGCATGCCTGACGTGTGCTCCCGAGTCTGCTCTGCCAGCCCCCATGCTCTGCAGCTCTGCACAGGGCTCCAGGCTTAGCTGAGATGTGCCCGCCTGAGCCCCAAGCCAGTCATTCCTGCAGGAAGCCTTGGCTCCTCTGTCCCAGCGAGCTGTGATAGGAACCACATCCAGACGGGTTTGCTGCATGGGACTCGGCAGAGAAAACAAGGGAAGGCTGCTTGAGTCATTTAAAAACGATTCATTTTCAGAAACATGGGCTTAGGATAAAGTCTGCCTCTGTCCTGTGCTGGGTGCTGAGAGTTCAGAGAAAACAATTCAAGGCCCCATGATATCAGGAAGCCCTGGTGTAGGAGAAGGCAGATGGGGGAACTGAAGGACTTCCAATAGGGGACTGGCACCGCAGCAGACAGGCCTGGATGCCAGGGACCCAGGGCATGCTGAGCAGCCTGCAGGGATCCAGAGAACCAGCTACTGTGGCGTGCTCCTCGTGTTCCCCCGAGCACTCACGGCAGGCAGGGGACTCTGCAGGGAAAGAGCTCTGTCATGCCCAGCGATGGCTGCCTGGCACCCCCACTGGGGACGGGTGAGCGGAGCCTCTGTCACACCCACTGGAAGGTGACTGAGGTTTGGTGGAGACCACGCAGAAGACAGCCAGAGAAAATTGCTCTGGCCTCCACCGAGCGCCAGCAAAGCCTCTCCAGAAAGGGGTAAAAGGATTTTGCGTTGCTCCTGGGGACAATTCAGCTTCAAGACAAATGGCTTCCATTTAAGTAAAGTGGCCGCGAGAGTTCAGAGCAGGCTGAAACGTGTGAAGACAGAGGTCCTGTCAGCGCCCGGTGCCAGCCAGGCATCTCGGGGTGAGGACGCGGTCAGGCCTCAACAGGGGAGCAGCCTCCACGGCGAGCACTGGGCTTTCAGTCTTCTCCCCTAAAAAGCCTGTCGAGTATGTTTCAATCCTTGGATCAACAAGGGCCAGCGATCCCAATGGCCAGAGGAGAGGGTGAGTGTCACGGGTTGTGTGTTGGAGAGTGTATGGGTCTCCCCAGGGGCCCCCTCGCTGTCACTGGGCACCTGGCTCCCACCTAGGGCCAGCACCTGGGGACACCATCGTTCCTGTGCATGCACAGAAGCACGTGCCATCCGTCTGTCTGCACTGGCCCCCGTGCATGTCCCGGGGGAGCAGCGGCTGTCCAGCCAGGTCATGGGGAACAGGGCTGATTTCCACCCTAGATAGAGACCCAGTTACTTCAGACACTGTCCCTCACCAAGTTTGATCAGCAAGACACACACGTGTGGTCCCTCACTTCCCTGGCGTATTAAAATGGTGATAGTGAAACTGGGACGTCAACTGTTGGCCAAGGTCAAGGTCGTGTTTCCTGGTCCAGGTGTGAATGTCCTGCAGAAGAAGTGACCAGTCTCAAGGGCGCTCATCTCTGGTCCAGGCTCCGGCCCGTCCAGGGCTGGCCCTTTCCCCCAGCTTGTGCCCCAGTGGGGACAGCACTTGAGCGGTGACACTGTTGCCTTCAGAGCCTATTGAGGTGAACAAAGGAGGGAGGCGCCCATGTGACACGCCCGTGTGACGTGGTGTTAAAGACAGAAGGGAAAGAGGCACAGACGGTGCCCCTTCTTGCCTTGTGTGCAGTGGCCTCTCCTTGCAGCTGCCAAGAGAGCCCTGTCCCTGGTCATTGACGGTCCCCTCCCCTGAGCCTCTGCCCAGCTCATGCCCTTGACAATGGCGGGGGCTTTCTCCCCTTTCCAGCACCAGTCTCTCCTGTGCCTTCTTGTGCCTGGCTCTCGGGGAATTGCCATAACCTCAGCCAGGGATGCTGCAGTCCTTCCTCCTGGAATGTGCATGGGGTTCTGGAGTGTCACCGAGACCCCTGGGGGCAGGTGGAAGTGACACCCAGCCACACAGAAGTGGGTTCTCCAGTCTCCCTCAGGCCTGAGCCCAGGAGCATCTGGGTCCAGGCACCCGGGGGTGGAGGCAGAAGGGCGTCCTGCTCTGTCACTGTCCAGCCTCTCCGCCCACCCTGGACTCCACCTGCACACTCACACTGGGAACAGAGCCTGTCCTTTAATGCCAGCGCGCTGTACCCCATTTTCTGGAGCATGTTGCTGGGTCTTCTCTTTCTGGCTCTAGTGTCCCAGTGATTAAAGGTGACTGCCCCAGGATAAAGGGACCAGGCTTGGGGCAAGGGGCCCAGACCTGCCTCGTCCTAGAAGGTGGGCCCCTGGTCACTGCCTCAGCTCTGCCAAGAGCAGCCCTGCATAGAGGAGCTGGTGGCCCGAGTAGACCCCACACTGACAGAGATCTGTGTGACCAGGAGGGGCCCACAGCATCCTGCGTGGGACTCCCATCCCTTCTTGGATACAGGTGCCCTTGGAGGGGTCAGCATGCCGAAAGCCCCGTGAGCCCAGGTGAACTTCAGGTAAATGCAGACGTGGGCAGAGGGGCCCTCAGCAGGAATGGCCAAATTTTACCCATTTCAGCATTTTTTCCTGTTGTAATAGGTAAAATTTCACTGTTATTCCATCATGTACTCAGTCCACGTCATTTGCTTTTGAGGATTGCTTTCACATTAGGGACAGTTAAAATCCCATCTAGAAGCTGCAGTGGGCAGGTCACAAGCCCAAGGGGGCAGCTCTGTCATTAGAGCTGATTCAACTGCTATGAGTGAGGCGTCCATCCCAAAGCCTGAGCCGACAGCCAGAGCTCAGTGTCCATTGAGAAGGGGACGCGGGCCACCGAAGCCCAGAGGAAGCAGGAAGGAAGGAAGAAGAGAGTGATTTTTAAAAGGACACATGGTCAATATTTACATCCCTTAGTATTCAGTGTGGCCAAACACATTCTCCAGGAACCTCAAACATCGCTGCTGGGAGAATAAGCTGAATTTCAACAACCTTCTCAAAACAATTGGGTAACAGAGATCAAATGTTTACAGCCCAGAGGAAACACATTCCACTCACGTGCATGAGCGTACACACACTCACACACACGACTACTTATCTATATGATCAGCCAAGTATTATTTAAAGTAACAAAAATTGGGAAGTATTACTTAATAAATTAAAATGCAGGATTTTTGAACTGACAATGAGTGGGGTAATATGAGCACATCAGAAGTGTTCTCTGAGAGTTTACACTAATGAAGAGGGAAGAGGGTGATATAGAGTATGAATTAGGTTCAACCCTGTGAAATCGACGGCTAAACAAGCCACTGCTCAGCTGTGTCAACCACAGTTCCATATGGGTTATGCTGGAAGGTAAAAATCTTTTGTTTTGATTTTTCAAACTCTGTTTTCATCTTAATTTAGTTTTTCAGTGCTAGAGACAGAATCCAGGGCTTAGTGCATGCAAGACCAGAGTTCTACCACCAACTTGTATTTCCAGCCCTTAAAAATCTATTTTTAGAGGAATAAAAAGTTTGAAGGAAGTTAGACCCCATTGGTAGTAACAGTCACCTCTAAGGGTAGGATTTAGGTGGATTTTTTCCTTGATATTCTTTTCTTGATTGACCACTTTACTAGTGCAATGTCATTTGTGTATTTATGGCATGCAGCAAGGTGTCATTCACACTCTGAGTCTCTTTTCGTCACCGCCTCGTCTTATTAGCCATGTGTGAAGTGCCTGTGAGGCTTGGAGGAGCTGCCGTAGCTGCCGTAGGAGTGTGATCAGCTTCTCCAGCCTCGACTCAGGCGCAGAGCACACGGCACTGGAGCCACGGCCTCCTCTGCACAGCTCAGCCACTCCCCGTGAGGACGAGCGGGTGCCCTGGCCTGGTGCCTGCCGTAACTCTCACTGGCGGTGTGCTCACGTGCCCGGGGCAGGGAGGGCCCAGACATGACTGACAGCGGGGCACAGAGTCGGGAACCAGGCTGCCCAGGACCTGAGAAGGAGCCGCTGTCTTGCCCACACCAGCCTGGCACCACTCCCTGTGCTGGAAGGCCATCTCAGGGCAGCTACAGGCCACTAGGCCAGGCCAGGGTGGGCCTGTGAATTCCTTCCTCACTGTGACAGGACGTGGGCCCAGCCCCAGGGGCTCTCATTCAAGCTGGCCAGGGTCATCCAGGGTCCCCAAGGCTGACCCCACTGCTGGAAAGCTGGCCAACGGTGGCTCACAGAGGGACATGAGAGGACTCTGGGACACTCTGAGACCAAGTCGGGTTCTAGGGTCTCTAAGGGCCTTCGTTCTCCTGGTCCCTGCCTAGGAACTGCCTACTTCCAAAGGAGGCTGCAAATGAAAACGTTCCCAAGGCAAATGTCCTGCTGGACTCCCTGGACAGGCCGTTAAAACTTGCTGCTCAGTCAGATGTGCTCCTTGATAGACCAAGTTTTAAGAGAAAGCTCCATTGCGATTTGTACCAAAATAGAAACAGAGCCTACTAACCTCGAGGAGCCACCACGGACCTGGGGCAGGGGCAGTAACCAGAGCCCCTGCCCAGGAGGCCCAGGGAATAGCTCCAGCTCTGCCCTTGGTTAACCACTAAGAAACCACGGGGCCTGGCCTCATCATTCCATGAGCGCAGGAGCCTCTGAGCTGAAGTATTGAGCAAAGGCAATAAAAGTCTTATTAATCACTTAGCCATGAAAAAAGTGACCTTTTAGGCCTCATTCTTTAAGCAACTACAACTCTTACAAGGCTCAGCTCTAGAATTCTCATGAGCAGGAGCAACTTAAGAAATCTGCTGGCATAGTTTATAAAGTCCCAAATCGTAAATGGTGGCAGTGCTTTATGGCATGGGCTGTAAATCGGACTGGTCTTTCTATCTGAGTGAGCGTGGGCTCCCGAACACCCTGAGGCAGGGCACAGCTCCTGCCTCTCCCAGGAAAACGCAGCACGGCACTTCCTTTCCCTCGTGCCTATTTTCACTTAAGAATCTCAGAATCAGAGACTGAAATGAGCTGCTTAGGTCAAAATGCAGGTCAAAAATGCACTGCAGCTGGGCACAGTGGTGCAGGCCTGTAATCCCAGTGGCTCAGGAGGCTGAGGCAGGAGGATCGAGAGTTCAAAGCCAGCCTTAGCAACTTAGCGAGGCGCTAAGCAACTCAATGAGAACCTGTCTCTAAATTAAATACAAAAATATGGCTGGGGATGTGCTCAGTGGTTGAGTGCTCCTAAGTTCAATCCTGGGTACCAAAAAAAAAAAAAAAAAGGAGGAAAGAGAAAAAAGAGTGCACTGCAGAGTCATTGGTGAAATCCCTCAGCAAGGCCCTTTGGACAAACTCAAGAGCCTGTGTGAACCCAGCCCTCCAGCCTCCCGGCCCCTGGTTGTGTAACACTCTGTTGGTAAATTGGGTTTGCTGGTGTCCAAACCAAAGAGATGGGAACACTTGACTGTAAGATGAAGTGAAGTGTGTTGCTCCTATTTCTCACAGTTCATAAGGMCAACGTGTCCCAGGGAGGGAGATTCCTTCTCCTTCCAGGTCATGCCCTTGGACCAGCCTGGCTAGGGCCACTCAGAAACACGGGTTAGGGGTACTTCTGCAACGTCCCCGCAGTGGGAGACAGGGTGGGCGTAAGGGCAAGAGGCTCTGGGCGGGTCTGACAGCCAGCCACAGCCCCGAGGGCTCACAGGAGCATCCAGTCTCCTGCAGGCCCAGGACCCACAGCTCTGGGCAGAGGGTGGGGTGCGTCCCGTTCACAGGGTGCTTCCGGGACCCTGTGCTTCAGCTGCTCTGTGGGAACAGGAGTGCGATGAAGCAAGCAGCAGCCCTTGTGGAAGGCTGAAAAGCTCCCCAGGGCTCGTTAGAGACCACTGCGGTGCCTGTCCAGGAGTGAGGAAGGGGACACCAGGCCCACCTGGAGCACACACTGGGATTCCTCTACCCTCCAGGAGCATGGCCTGGCAAAGGGACGGGTACTGGGGCAGGGACAGGACCCCACATGGCAGGTCATCAGCAGCTGAGGGAGGGCCTCCCAGAGAAGGGACCCTGAGACAGATTTGTGTGACAGCTGCAGCCTGGATCCCCTTTCCAGAACCGACATGGGTTTTGTTTTGTTTTTATTCAAGGGCACTTGTGGCCCACCTCCTTTCTCCAGCTCCTGATGCCAAGGCCTGCACCTTCCCGTCAGGGGCATGGCTGCATGGAGATGCACACCTTGGCATCCACAGTGCCAGGGAGAGGGCCCAGGCAGCGGGTGGGAGGCCTTCCTTCCTGCGGAATCCGGAAAGGCTGGAGCCTCCGGGCTCTTTGGGTCTCAGGTGGGGTGAGCGTTCAGACTGGGCTGCCCCCGGGGGGTCCAGAGCAGTTCTTCCCAGCACCCTGCACCAGGCTCCAGCTGCACCTGCTGCCGAGGGCCCAGGCAGGAAGCAGCCTGGGGGCGTGTGGACCGTGGAGGGAATTTGCCTTGCATTCAGGAGGCCATTCCAGTGCTCATTATAATTATCTTCACTCGAAGGTTCCACTGCTACCTTCTGTGTTCAGCCTCATTTTCTAAGGAAATCCAACTGGGTTACAATATTGTATCTGGCTCATTTTATACCCAAAAGCCAAGGCAAGAAATTAAAAGTTGTTGGAAAGAGATTCTAATATAACCCCCTCCATTCAAAATGAGATTCAGAAATTGGCTGCAATTAGGATATTCTAATTTTATTCACAAATAGTCATATTAATCCGAAGGCGTGGGAGTCCCTGGTGGGTAAGGTACCCCCAGGGGGACATCCCTGTGGTGGGGCACCAGGGCCTGGCCCGGCTACAGCAGCAATTTCCCTCACAAGGGCAGGAGCCTCCTTCTGTCTTCCTGGGGACCTGTTCCTACAGGGGCCTCTCCGCCTGGCCCTGTGGGGGTTTCGCATGGGGGCACCCCACACCTCATGGCTGCCTCTTTTCTCCTTTAAGACAAGAAGCAGGGGCCTTTCTCCATGTCAGTTTTCCCCAGTCTTCTCCAATGATTTAGTACCCAAGTGCCACTCTGCTCAGTCATGGGCTCTGCAAGGACAAGGTCCCTGGCTGCTGTCCCTGAGGAGCCTCCCAGGCTGAGGCCCCGCACCCGCCCTGCAGGTCCTTACCCCTCTCTCCAGGAGCATGTCTCGGAAGTGGGTGGCGCGCTCCTCCAGGGGCAGCAGAATCTGGGGGGGCGGTGTCCGTGTGCCTCTGTCCTCTGGCTGTGGCTCCTCAGGCCCGGGACTCTCGCAGCCTTCAGTCCTTCAGGGAAACAAGAGCAAAAAATGACACAGGCCCTGGGAGGCCCAGCCGGTTTTCACGGCAGCTTTAAGACTTCTCTGAAACAAAGAATCTTTGGAAACTCTTTCCATAAAGCCTGGTGCAGGCAACGGGTGAGTGGGGACCTCTGCCCTTGGCTGAAGACTGCTTGGCTGCTCTGGGCAGGAGATGGAGACTGAAGCCCAGCCCAGGGCACCAGTCGGGGATGGTGGGCACGAGCTAGTGGAGCTGCAGGAGCTGCCGACAGGGTGCCTGTGGGTGAGACCCTCACTTCAGGTCCCTGTGACGGCCACCTGCACAGGACAGAGGCTGAGGTGCCCATGTCACTGCACAGATGCTCTCAACCACGGGGGAGGGGAGACCTGCCACTCACCACCGGTTCCCTTCTTTACTGAACAGATGAGTGAAAGAGTTTCAGGAACAGAAGTCTGCCCTGAGATGGACCAAAAGGGAGACTTAGTGACAAGGAGGGAGGCTGGGCGTTGCCGGGTCCCTGGTGAAGTCCCCAGCAGAGAGGGGTGGCTGCAGCCAAGGCCCCGGAGGCTGGCTGCCACGGGGGCCTATCTCACCAGGCAGGAGCTCACCACAGCTTCCCCAGGCTCTCACAGGGGGGACCTCCTTGTCCTGGAAGGAAGGGAGACACCCACCCTGCACAAGCAGGTGCTGCCTCAGCGCTACTGGCCCTTGGCAGACCTCTGCAGGGCTCCGTGCCTTATGCTAGAAGGATCTGCCAGCTCCTTCCAGAAAACCTTGCTGAGTGGGAGAAAACGGTGGGCAAAGTGCAGACACTGCTCCCTTCAGGCTGGGCTTCCCCTCCTCCCCAGCCTGGCCCAGCCTGGGAGCAGCTTCTGACCACCCGCCATCCCAGTCCTCGTGGCTGCGGCCTGCACCTGCCTGTCACAGAGGCTCGGCCCACACTGGCTTCCGGCACAGCCTCACGGCAGCCACTCTGACCCTGGCAGGGCCTCTGTGCAGCATGACCCTGCTGCACACCTGTCCATGCCCAGCCCCCGGCAGCCACTGTTCGAAGCAGCAGGTGTGGAGGCTCCCTGGACAGCTCCAGCCACAGGCCACCGCTCTGATCCTGGGCTGGGGACAAGGCTTCTCTCCTGGACCACACCCCACTCAGCTCCTGTGCTTTCCAGTAGTCTGGAATCTGGCCTCCACGTGCTCTGCACTGTGCAATCTGAGTGCAAGTGGACAACATCCGATCCCGCTGTCCCTCAGGGTCCTCCCCACCTGACATGTTTCAGGCCTGGTTTCCTAATGTTCGATGGTTCCCGATGAGGTTCCTTGATGCGTTTTCAAGTCCTCCATTACCCGGGTGGATGTGCACTGATGCACCCAGGGGCTGTATGGACACTCGGACCTGCCTTCAGCAGCTATCCTGCTGTTAGCTTTGCCAGACCCCGCCCACCACTGACGCATCTTCTTGGTCGTTTTCTGTCCATGACCTCCACCCTCCTCCCTGGCTCTAATTTCCTGCTGCTCCTGCTGATTTGGAACTGATCCCTGTTCTGTGCTGGGATCTCCCCCATCGTGACAGCCCTGAGTGCAGCGTCTTCACCACTTCACTGCCTGGCTCTGGTTTTCTCTGACATTCATACAGCGCTGTCAGTGGGGAATCTGCTCTGGGAAGACGGGGCCATGTCTGCAGACAGCTGAGGAACGCCCTGGCATCTAGAAGGAGATGATGTTAACCACCCTGCGATGCACAGAGCAGTCCCCATCATGAGATGAGGTGGCCCAGGTAGGCCTCCTCCAGGCCATGGGCATCAGGTGGAGCCTGCACCACTTCCTCCTGGGATGCAGGACAGGGACACATGGTCATTCAGCTGCCAGGCCAGGCTGATCCAGGCTGCCCAGCCTGCCAAGTGTGCTTCTTCCCTGCACCGACTGACCCAGGTACTTAGAGAATGTGTTTGCTGAGAATGCCCAGCTCTGTCCAGCAAGGGGTCTCCACACACGAGGGCTGTCATACCAACTACTGGTTTGTCCTATCAAACCAAAGTGAGTGTACAGGGAGACAGAGGGTTGCTGGCCCATTGGGGATTTTATTTATAGACCCAGTGCTCACATCCTGCGCTGCTTCTGCAATGATATGGAATTTTGAAATAGAAATTTCCAGYATTTGCGATTGTACTACACTCCAAGAGGGTATAATTAGGATTTCTTTGTAATAAATTTTCATTAGTTAAAAACAGAAGAGTGGAAACAAGGCTCATATTGTTGTAACTTGAAATAAGATTAAGAGGAGCATTGTGAGTGCAAAAATGATCGCACATTATCACTTGTTCAACAAAATACTCTGTGTGGAACCACGGGACGCGTCCAGAGTGACCAGCCACCAGCTCCATTAGAAGAGGTCAGAGGCCAATGCAAATGAGCGGAACATAGTTTTTATATTCCTGGGACTGCATGATTCTTGTACATTTAGCCAAAAGTAAGTTCTGACACTTTTTGTTGGAAGTAAAGCTGGGTGGGCCCGGAGCGTCACGGAGGGTGAGAGGCGCTGGGCACAGGACTGGCTCCCTGACAGCCCCACTAGGACTGGCTGACCCTGGGGGAGGTCTGACTGCAGCACGGGAATGACGGTCAGGATGTCACACCCTGCTTAGGGGAACGCTCTGCACCCAGGGTTGGCCTGGGCTGACCTTCCACCCTGTAGGTGTTCCCCAAATCTGGGCACCACACCCCTGGGGTTTCTCGCTCCAGAGCCACACTTTCCTTGCCCTCTTTCCCACACTCAGTGTGGACACCATGGTGATGGTCTCCACCCAGATGGAGGGTCTGTTCCTCCCGACTCTGTCCCTCAGCCCCCGTGTGCACACCACTGACACAGGCATCTCCCCTGAACCCTCACCCCGGCCTCTTCCCCTGGATTCTTCTGCAGAGTGTCCTGGGGCCATATAGTTGACCTGGTAAAGAGACGACAGCGCCACCAGCCACCCCTGCAGACCCAAGCCACAGCTTTTGTCACTCAGCGTTCCCTGCAAGTGCGTGGCATCCATCTGTGCTGTGCTGGGCACAAGGACGGTTTGGCCAAACCAGGGGTGCCCTGCCCCCGGAGTGCAGTCTGGTGGGCCTGGACTGAACCGTGGCGTGCCATAGCAAATAGCCACCACCAAGAGCCAGGGCTGAAGTCCCCATGTTCAGGGGCCGGGTGCAAGGGTTTCTAATGTGGCATTAGGTTGGCATTCCCGCCAGCACTACCATTCGACAGACTTTGCAGGAATTGAGGGCGTTTGAGTTGCCCCAGAGGCATGTGAGGAAAAGTCTGCCTCGGGCTGAGTCTGCGACAGAACAGCTGGGATGCCACCGTCTTGTGCAGAGAGCCCTGCCTCTGGGGAGAGATCTGCAGAGGTCCCCATGAGCCCATTCCCCAGGGCTCCTGAGCCTCGTGGGGAGGCTTACTCACAGCACAACCTGGGCCTGACTATGGCCACTCTCTGGACTTATTCACAGTAAAATTCATGGTCAGACAATAGGATCTGAAGCGCCTTGCTGCACCACGGCTCTGACCAGGTGTGAGCCTGTTAAGTTCACCCTGTAGAAGTGTTCCCACGTCTTGGCTCTCCACGCTCTCAGCTCTGCCTCCCGACCTTTGCAGTTTGGGTAAATGTGATACACGGGTCTCTCGAATCTTCTTCCAACTTGTTCTTAAAAGTGTTCAGCAGGAAATGCCAAAGACAGACGCCTCCAGCAGGTCCCACCACAGTGGCCCCAAGGTGCCCTGGGACGCAAGGCTCCTTGCGGCTGAGACCCTGGAGGTGAGGTCTGCCGACGTCTTCTCAGACACATTTCAGGCCTGGTTGGTTCCTGATGAAGCTCCTTGATGCGTTTTCAAGTCCTCCATTACCTGGGTGGATGTGCACTGATGGCTGCTGCCCATGGCAAGGACAGCACCCCGTGAAGAGCCGGTGCATGCGTCAGCCCAGGTGATGCCTCTGCTGGGTGCAAGGGACGCGATTTTCTGTCACTGCACTTGTTTCTTTGACCTGCTGATGCTGTAAGGTCAATGCAAGGCCACAAGCTAGGAGCCCCGGGTTTTCTGGGTGTGAGGCACAGGATGGGACCCTTCCAGCCCAGTCCAGGGGGCACGGTCACCTCCCCACACTCCAGTGGCCACCCAGCCTCAGGGTTTCCTTGGGAACGTGCCTACAGCCCCAGTGGCTCTGCTGCATGCCCCTGCTCACCTCAGCTCCTCGGGGCCTCCCTTCCGTGTATGGCACCCTTGCATGGTCATAGGGCCAGGGTGCCCAGTGGTCCAGGCCACGAGCACCCAGCCTGTGACTCCTCGTCTGGGTTTTCCCAACACAGCCCTGGCAGAAGGACCACAGGCTCCTTCCTGTCCTCATCCTCACCCATCCACATGACCCTCCTCCCCCCGCTCTGGGCATCTCTGTGCCTTTGTCATGAGGATCTCTCTTCCCAGGTGCTCTTCCTGCCCCTGTCCACCCACAAGCCCTGGCTCAGCTTGTAGCTGGCCACCTGCCTGTCTCCCCCGGGGGTGGCGCCTCCCTTCCAGTGGCTGAGCCATCCTTTCCCCTGAGCTCCCAGGGCACGGCCTTCCTGCAGCAGGGTGTCACTCAGGTTTCCCGTAAAGAGATTCTCCCCTGTCCACCTCCTGTAACGCAGGGCCAGATCCCCGAGGGCAACAAAGTGCTTGTTTGGTTGCCATCAACAGCTCTAGGCTTTGTCTTTGGTGCCCAACAAGCCGTGACAGGTGCTTGTTGGATTAGATTTTGTGGTTTGTTTGTTTCTTGTAACTTCCACAGAGACATTTTAGACACCGCTGAGCTCCAGGTCCCAAGTGTTGTCACATTTAGGTAAGTGACATGTGACTCCTGAGTTCTCTGACACCCACTGCTTCCCACCATGCAGGAGCTGAGAGCAAGACTGTGGACTCACACAGGGCTGGAAGCCCTAACAGGTCTCCTGAGGGCGAGTGCACTGACCTCTCCCACACCCACCTTCTGCAC